TGATAAACGAAAGCTTCGTTTATAGACAGGAATCTGTACGCATTTGCATGTGGAAAATTGAAGTACAATTTTATTTGTTTTTCTGCCTTTATAATGATATTAAATTAAAGGATTTTCAACTTGGTAATATACTTATCTGTGAAGAAGCATTTTAAAATTCTTTACACGGATGCAAATTGGTATGAAAACATAATTTTCAAGTGCTATGTTCACATTGAATGCCATGAATAATTAATTAGTCTTGCTGCAGCTAAAGTTTCATCCTTTTTATAAGGTATCAGCCAATGTTCTTTTCACTCCAGAAAAATGTCATCAGATACTGTGTTTCCACAGGGAACTATACAGTTTGCATACAGTACTTTTCAAATTAATTAGTATCCAGGAAGAAAAAATTAAAATCATAGTGTTCTTGAGCTACTTTAGATTGTGGGTAACTTCCATACAGCACATACTGTAATAGATCAGAAAAGCTTTGATTGCTGAGCAATGTAAGTATGTGTAGAAAAATTTAAACTCGCCTTTTAAAAAGATTAGTACGCAAAGTACTTGAAAGCATGATTTCATCTAAGATGTGCAGTTAATCTGTTTAATTTTAAAAACATTCACAGTCCTTTGCTGGGAATCATAGGATCATAGAATAATTGCACTGCAGTTCAGTCTCCTGCTCAAAGCAGAGTCAGCATTGGATTTGAGCAAAGTTGCTTAGGACAACCTGCTCCAGTAATTAAGCAATTATCCTCATAGTGAGAATTTCTTTCCTTACACAAGTCAGAAACACACAGGTCTGAGTTGCTTCTTGTTCCCCTGCCTTGCAAATCAGTAAAACACATGCTTCCATCTTGATAAACTCCTCTTAGGCACAGGGAGGCTGTGTTAGGTCCCCCTGAAGCTGCCTCTTCTCCCAGCTGAGCAAATCCCCTTTCCTCAGCTTCCGCTCACAGGACAAGTGCTCCAGGCCCCTGTGACCTTTCATCAGTAGTCGGGAAGATGAGAACCTTGCTCTGCCGAAGAGACGGAGCTAGTCTTGGTCAGCAAGAAAGCAGTTTCTTTCTGCTGCTTGCCTGCATGTCTTATTCATGTATTCAGATGCTGAAAGGCACAAGAAAGGCTAACCTTTCAAGTGTACATCACAAGTGTACGTCGCAGGGCTAAGGCAGGTCAGCCTGAAATGCAGGAAGGGTGTGAGTCCTGCTGTGAGTTGCAGGACGATCAATCATGGTTTTGAAAAACTGTTTGGTGTGATAAGACTGCTGAAATACTGAAATGTTTTTTACATGAGGCATATTTTTTAAATCCCTCTAGAAGATGCAATTTGTGAAAGATTCAGTAGTCTGCTTGCTGAACTTATTTGTCATTTTGTGGTCATATTAAACAAGTACTTTGAGTATCACATTTTGCGACTCTAAGCGTGTATGATGGGTGGTCTGACTCTGGACATCCCTGCATTTCTCTACTGACTATAGAGCATTTATGATATTACATCTTAATTAGTTACCCAAAGTAGTCAGACATAAGACTGCAGAAACCTTTCTTGGGTTCTGTGTTAATATTAAGTTGAGTTTAACATGTAAGCTTTAATAGACCTAGGCCTACAAGTGTCATAGGTTATCATTCTCTTGCTTAGAGGTTAGTTGTTTTAGGCTCCTGAACTGTGCTTTAAGTGATTTTGAAGTGGCAAGTGCATTTTTTTTGCTCTCCTATAAATCAATATTGCTCATCTCTTTGGGGCTTTTTTTTTTTTTTTTTTTAAATCTTGCCCTATGGAGAGTTTGAAGAGGATGTTTTAAATGGTTACCAGGAATGGAATGGGTTACATTTCTGTTGTATTTCTTTGTACAAAGATAATCTTATTCCTGAATAAATAACTGCCCTTTTGAAGATCAGAACTTTTAAGAATCTGGTAAAAATGTTTATGGCTTAATATGGGCATTCTTTTAGGCATGTACTACCAGACTGAAATATACAAAAGGTTATTAAAAATATAAACGTTATTAAAAATATAATTAAAATTGCAAAAGTGAGCATTTAGGAGTAAGAAAATGCCAGAGCTGCTTACTTAAGTAGCCATAATTTGGCATTCTGTAATGGGATCTTCAAATTATGTGGTGACCTACCATATTTTAAAGTCAACCTTTCCTCTTTTGAAACAGCATAGAATAAATGAGCAGTGATTCCATATTTCGTATTTTTCCCCTATTTTTATGCAGTGTCTGATTCTTGTCCCTACTTTGAAAACAGTATTAAATCATTCTCTGGTGTTACCAAATTTTGTCTTCAGATTTTTTGTTAACAGTGCTAAAGTTTTAGATGCTGGACACGTACAAAATGGTGTCATTTTTTATAAATACAACGTGTGTGGTATTTGGTAAATTCCCTGAGAAACGATGTGATTATAGCTTCCTTATTTTCCAGGTGCAAACCCCAAAAGCTCTACTAATTTTGAATACGTAAATACCTGATTTGGGAAGGCTAGGATCTTGTTATTCGGAACTGTTAATGTATGTTCAGACATACTATTAGTTGAAGAATACTTGATTTTTGGATGTAGTTATAAATAGTCAGTAAGAATAGTGGCCAAAATCTGACATCAAAACTAAAGCATGTGGCTAGTGGACAGTTAGGAAAAATGGGATCTTAGTAGTTTAGACTTAATACTATAAGAAAGTTGTAGAGGGAACAACATAACTCATTTTTCTAGAACTCTGAACTGCTTTTATCTGTTTAAAAAAAAAAACCCAACTTGTTCTTCCTCCTTTTTTCTCTCTCTACTTATTATGCACTTTCCAACTCTACAATGAGAGGTTGGGATTTTATAGCCAATGGCATCATTCATTATTTCCATTGTAGGTCCATCCTCTCTTGCATGAGGCAAAGATGGTATGGAAGAATTTGTGAGTTGTGTAATTAAAGATAATCAGTGGTGGGAATACAAAATGATACAAACTTTTTCATTCATGGTGCTGTTTCTTTCAGTCTCTAGCTCCTTGTGGCCCAGTTTCTGTATCTGTCCAGTCTTAATCTCTGTCGTCATTTTCTAACTTTGTTTCACATCCTGATTTTTCCTGTGCACTCCATCCCAGTGTTGCACCTTGCTCATTACGTATCTGTTTCCTCGCTGGAACTCATTAACTTATTTCTAATCTCCATGTTTCGCTTTACTCTCACTTCTGTTGGTCCTTGTATCCTGGTGAACCAGTCCTTTCTTCTGCCCTTGCTGCTGCCTCTGCGTTTGGTAGATGTTAGAACTGGGAAGTTATTGAAGAATGAAGTCTTTCTGCTCTTACCTTGGTCTCATTTGGGTCAGGCTAAGTACTGAAAAGCAAATTGGGCGTTGTTCCGATAGCCCTAAATTGCATTGTTGTAATTTATTCATATGCAGTCTTGGAAGGGGAAGGAGCATGCGTACTGCCAGCAGAACCTTAGGAGATTTTTTCTCTTTTAAACTTTGAGATCAGTAATGAATATACACAAACAGGCTTTTTTTCATAACTCACAGATTTCCTGTATTTAGGAAGATTTCATGAAAATGCTAAATGGATGCCTCACTGAAAAACTTCCTCCATATAATGCTGTTTTTCTTTTTTTCTCACCTCATTCTTATTCACACTTGACTATTTTGTAGTTAACAAAAAACCGCTTCAGCATGAGGTTGAGAGTTGACATAAGATTCAGCTGTAACAAATGATTTCAGTAACATTATAAGCGACTCTAGGTAGACTTGAAAGGGAATCTTAAGTAATCTTAGTGGGATGTTCAACATCTTTCATGGTAAACATATTTCTCTTTCTATTTGCTCATGATAATGAGAAGATGAAAAAATTTACCATCTCTTCCTCTATGGTTGGTGATAGAATTCCACTTTTTTCGCCTTGTTTCTCTGCTTGGCATAGCAGGATCCAGAATCCTGTAGGACTAATCTAGGGAGCTCTGTAAGTGTATGGGTCTTGGTGTTTCAGTAATGCTGTCTGAAATTTGAAAAAGACACACCTCCTAACTACTCTGGCTGCTTTTATAACTTAGTCAGCATTTCTTCCATTTCTGGACCTTCTTTCTTGCCACCCTTCTGTATCCCTTTGTCTGTCCAGTCTGTTTTCAAGTAAACAACGTGCCTCCATTTACTTTTTCCCTATTGGTCTCATTTGCTACATTCATTCCCAAATTTTCTATTTCTGAAAGCATTTCCTAGATAACCTTGGTCTTATATAGCATTAATGATATGGTGACCTAGGTACTGGTGACCTTGCAAGATTCTACCTGGCCAAAAGATGCCTAAAACTCCCCTTCAGTTATCTGGTTGATAGCAATTACATGCTGTTTATTCTGCACGCTTTCAAAGACCTGTCAGTCTGCTTCAGCCTTGGTTCGTCTACCTGGTTTAAATTAAGCATGCTTTATTCCACTTGGCTCTTTCTTGTTTTATACACAAGCTATCCACTTACCAGGATAAGGATCATATTGCTAGATGCTTTTTCTCACTCATTTGTGTTTTTGTTTTTGTTTTCTCCTCACACAGCATCCTACTTGTCAGGGAGCAGGAAGAACTAGCCTGTCCTCAGCTGCTCTATTTCTAAGTTGGCCCTGAGCCCAGGGAGCCAAACCTCCTGAAAGGGGGATGCTATCAGGGCCCCTACATTCTCTCCCTTAGATTTTTCATCAGAAATTGTCAGCCTTGACGCGTTCTGACAATCTCCTGGTTTCCTGCAGAGACCCTGTCTTTTTATGGCATCCAGTACTCCAGCAGGACCTTTTGCTCACAACATTAGTCTTCCTTAGTTTTAGACCAGGTATTTTATTTTCTTTGAAAAGATGGTTGTAGGAGGAGAAGCTGATGAAATTTAACAATATTAAACATTTATTCAAAAGCAAATGATAGTTTTTCGGCTATATCTTACATATATATTTGGAACTTCAGTAGTATTTATTAATGACCAGTTCTGATAAAATATTGTAACTTTGTACAAGATGAATTTTTTTTACCTGTTTCTTTCTGTTTCTTTCAGTGTCTCCTGAAGCAATTGGATTCCTGTCTGCTGTTGGTGTGTTCATTATCCTCATGTTGCTCCTTTTTCTATATATTAATAAGAAGATGTGTTTTGAAAATGTTGGTGGTTTCCCAGATCTTGATTCAGGATACACTACAAGAAAGAATTCACAAGATAAACTTTGTAAGTGTCTGAAATAGTTTACTAAACTTAAAGTTATAACACTTGTCATGCATTTTTTACAAGGAAACACAGAAATACACAAATAATCACATGACTCAAGTGATGAAAAGAGGTACATTATTGACTTTTCCTGTGATTGTGCGCTATGCTGAAGGGAAGAAACCTTTAGAGCCACAAGCCACAGAAATTCAACAGCTATATAACCAAAGAGTTGGCATTTACTTATGTACTTCTCTTGCAATAGGAGGATCCTCTAGAATGTGTTTTAAACGTTCCATAATTGTCTATAAGGAAATTTTCTCAAGTAAACTGTATTGACCTTATGGAGGTGTTGCATTTACTCACCTGGAAAATAGTTTTAAAGAATTCAAACAATGGAAATTAAATAGATCTCTTCTCCGGCTAATGAGTTATTTCTAGACTTTTTATTTTCAAAAGAACAAGGTCTTTAAGGGTAATATATTGAACTAAGGAGAATTAGACCTTACGAAAGGAAGAGCTTGAGGGCTGGTAAAATAAATTCTTCTGTGTGTTTGGGCTGCAAGGACTGAATGGGCTTTGTTGGCTCACATGAGAGGAAGAGACAGGCACCAGAGAACGGGATAGGAAATCTTAGCGGTGTTCTTCCCTTCTGCCTCTTTAAAAGGCGAAGCTAAATTTTTAATTTTTTTTGTGATAGAAGAACTTTTTTTTCCTGGAAATTAAGTTTTTCTTTTTTTGTTACAGAGCAGGTCTTCCTATTCTAAAATATCTTCTATTATGTAAAAGACAACAAATATTTAGGGGTTAAGAAGTCTCCCTGATGTGTGCTGTTGTGCAGCTATTATATTAAAAGTTATTTTAGTGTGAATTTAATAAAAAGACTAAATTGTCTTAAAACTTCTTCTTTGCAGGTTAGAATAAAAATGCATATTTACTTCTTGCACAGTTGTATTATTTTTGAAAATAATCAATTTTATTATGGTTAGTTGATGCTGCAATTGATGGAAGACTGTCACTTTGCTACTTGATTTTTGGCTTCATTTGAAGATACTTATGTTGCTCTCATTATTATTGTCAATGCATATTGAATGGAAAGAACAAAGCTGCAACTTCACCTGCTAAATATGTTAAGTTTGAGGTAACAAAAGCAAATAGCTGTGAAATTGAACTTGGAGAAATGGAGATGATCTGTTTGTGAAACAGAAGACCTTTCTATAGAAAAGTTGTTGTTGATCAATACATTGGACAAATGGCGTTTTTCAGGAACTTGCACCAAAATCTGAGCCTTCCATCTGTGTCTTCTCTGGTTGATACGCTTAGCAATGCTGTAGATGATCTGACCAATGCTGTTGGAGAAGTCAGCTACACTGTAGCTGATTCAGTAACAGAACAAGTAACAAGCATGATAAATGGCCTTCGCGCAGAGGATGAAAGCTCCAAAGTACAGAATGGTAAACCTATGGATGGTAGAGAGGAAACACTATTATTAACTCATTCCAAGGAAATTAATATGAAGGAAGAAAGTAGTACTGCAGAACATAAAGAGACTCATTATCCTAATTCATTAGATCTTGTAAAAAAAGATCTAAATCAAGCCCATGTCATATGCAAAAACCAGTGCCCATTAAAAGGCAGAGATGGTAACAATCATTTTAATGATGCAGAAGTGCCTCAGGATTTGAAAAATGTAGGAAGAACTGTTAAAAGGGAAGCAGTAGGAGGAAATCAGTATTTAGTAAATAAGTTCTCAAAGGATAGTAACCTGAAAAGTAATAAATTTACAGTGGATGGTTCTATCAAGGGACAAAATAATTGCCTACATGCAATATCAGGTAATTCTAAGAATCACTTGCAAGGAAAAATCAAACCACAATCATCTGGAATTGATTTTAAGGATTCCGAAGAAGTGCATAGGATGAATGTTTCCCAAGATTTAGAAACAAAAGTGAATGAAGTACAAAAGCAAAAATTATCAGATTCCAGCTTGAAAAAGACAGACGACGATCCTTCCTTAACAGAAAGGAAATCTGAAGCAAAAGAAAGGAACTCTGAAGCTTTTTTTGACAGAAAAGGAAAACCTATAACAAAGGAGGAAGATAATACATCAGCTACACTTACAAAAGCAGGTAAAAAGAAAAATCCTAAGAAAGCAGAGAAAAGTTCAAGAGAGCTAAGTAATAAGAGGACAACAGAAAAAGGTGAGGAGTCCTTGAGCAAGCTTCGTTCTTCAACCTTTTCTGAAACTTATGGCACTTTCTACTTATTTCACCTAATTTTCAAATTTCACTTCAGTAATACCATTTTCTGTGGATGGAAGTAATTTTGTTTTCTAGGTACTTCATTCTCTAATTATGATGTTATTTCTTTGAAGTTAATTACTTTAAAAAAAATTTAGTTAATGGAACTGATTACTAGATGTCTTTCGTATATTCTAACTTTCTTCCATATAACATTTTTCTCACCTTTTCTGAAGTGCTTTGTGTGATTTCTGTTGAAAACTGGGAATTAATTAATACTAGGAATTAATGCTTGTTGTTTGAAAATGGCTTTCTTTTTGTGTGCTTTAAAACTGTTTCAAAGGTTGTACGAATCTTACGATCTTTCAAGTTTGCATGAAGTGTGATGAGATAAAGAAAAAAGTGCACTTCTGTTACATTTGCATTATAGTAGATCTTCAGAATGTATTTCTGGGATACGTAACATAATAATTTTAAGATAGAGAAGTCACTGACAAGTGGCAATTAAGTAATTTTAAGTATAAAGAGAACTGAACAAGACTTTTTTTTTAAAGTTGTAGTCTTACAGAGAAAACCTATGTATTGTTGGTGTGGATGCTGTGTGCGCTGCCTTCAACATCCAGTCTTTTAACAATATAACAATGGAGTTTGCAATGATAGTTTGTGAGAAAGAAGTAAAACCTGGTATTTTTACATGGTTATTTTGCAGGATATGCAGTGACTTTTTAGAAAGTAACACATACTTTCCTTGGAGTTGCTATTTCTGTAGAGAAATGAATAACCTGATAATAGAACAACAAATTTTTCCCTGTGTGTGAGTTATTTCCTCATATGGGGCAACATTTGGAGAGTATATTCTCTATCAAAATGTCATTGTAGATACTATAATAAGCAAATCAATAGGTTTTAATAGGTTAATAATGATATATGAACTCCTTTTTGGCAAATAAAAGAAAGTCCTTTAACAGGAACATGAATTCTCCTAGGCAAGTTTCTGAATAAAATAAAAACTTCAAAAGAGAAGTGGCAAGAAGAGGCATAAAAAAAGCACAACCTTTTTGGATTTAGTTGAGGGTTGTTTTAAAATGTTACAGGAAGCTGTTTTTCTCCAAGAAACTGAAATAGATTTGTATTATTTATTTTTAAAAAATGTTTCCTTTGCTATCTAATTTCCATCCTAATTAAATTCTAAAGTCCTCTGAAGAGGACTTGTCCTGTTTCATGACTTGAAATAATATACATTCTGTCTTGTTCTTTTATGCTAGGAGTTGGAGAATAAATATGTGGTATCACTGGGAACTTCTGGATGCTTACAAACTTGAATGTATTATTAGAGGCATAACTTCCAAAACTTGTTTCAGAAATCTTCTAGTGTTTCTACCAGGTTCTATACTGTCCCATTTTTGATACTTTATGCAGATTGATTAAAGAACCCAATTTCATATTTACACACTCATTTTTTTAATAGAGATAAACGTCAGCTTAAGATATGTGTAATTATTGTTGCTGTTAGGCATTATATTTCAGTTTGGCACGCCCCGCTTCATTTATAGCTCTGGAGACGTTCTGTCGTTGTTTCCCAGCAGGTTTTAGACTACTGAGGATCATAAAAGACACAAACTTCTACTCCATGTAGCAGAAAAGGAGGCTTCTTTTTCCAGATAACTTTTAGCTTCTTGCAGTGAATCTGCTATCTGGTATATATTCTACTTAGTGTGACATTCATCAATATGTGGTCAGTGGAAATGAACTTGCTTTGTAGCCGTCCGTATAATGGGGAGCACCATACAATCTCCTGAATTAAAATTTATGGCCTGGAGTTGAAAGATTTAGCTGCTCATTAGCAGTCTTTTAAGGCACCAGTTTTCCTGTAAACGCTAAATTAAGCTCATATACACATTACATTTAGAGCTGGTAGTGCCGTCTGCAGTTAAAGTTTCCTGACATTTTCCATTTCAAGACCTTATTTTCAGTCGCTTATAACTGTGCCAAATTTGAAGCATTTTGGATGAAATTTGGCATGGTTTCTGTCTGAGATCTGTCTTTTAAGCTGTAGTTTAAAATCTTTAACTGTTTTCAGGAGTAGAATATGGGAAAAACATGCTGGTTATCTATTCAGAAAATAAATAACTTTTCTCATCTGCTTCATTAAGAAGCTTTTGGCAGTTCAGTACGTTGGATTATGTAATTGAAATGTGGGAGAGTAATTTTTCTATGTCAGAAATGTGGCTGTTTTTTTCTTTCTCTGTGTGTGTCTCTCTCTTTTTATAAGAAAAAAATTAAATTTGACAAAGTTATAAATCTTTGAAACGGTGTGTTTTGAAAATGCTCGACAAGCACTTTTATAATTTCTTGGCTAAATTCTTTGACCATCCCATTTGCACTTACGTGCTTTGTTGTAAGGTTGAAGACTGGAGCAGGACTTATCCTGCTTTTGATGCTTTTGGATATTGAAGGACACAGGAAGTTTGAAGAGAGCAGAATAAACATGACTCATGAGAGGAGAGAAACCTTCTGAATGAGTGCAAGATGGTGCAAGTTGTAGACTGGGATTTGAAGTAGGATAGATGACAGCTATGGAGGGAACTGATAATATATGAAGGTACAGAGAGGCTAAGGTTGAAAAATTGAGGCTACATGAACATATGGTTAGGTGCAAGTAAAGAGAATTTGGGATTGAATATGCAAAGAGAATCAAGAGAAGCCTCATGAGAAGCCAGAAGGGGGTGCTTGGAGCAGGAGCCTGGAATATGGAGCAAGGAGACAGAGACTTAGGATAAGATTCATCTCATTTAAATGTAACTATTATAAAAGTTATCTTACCTAAACTTGTAGCCTAAGCTTTCTGTATGAGCGTTGGGGTGAAAAAGACCTCTCTGGGAAGTGATTTTACTAAGTATCGTAGAGGCTCACCTAAAAGTGGGAAAGAATGACCTCTGTAGTAGAAAGAGGCAAGGACATTGACAGTAAAAGAAGCCCTAAATGACTAGCTTAGGTAGAGTTACCATAATTTTAAAAGGCCAAATTTTGTGTAAACTGAATCCCTTCTTTAGTCAGAAAGCTCAGGCAGAGACTGCCTGGGCATGAAAAGACAGGGACTGAGTGGGATCTGGAATGAATAACTAGAGAACACAGCCAGAGTTGGGAGGAGGAAAGAAAAGGCCAGGGGGAAGAGAGACAGTGTGGTTGGACAGTATATTAGACAATGTTCCCCTGCAGAATCGGGAACTGAACACAACGTTATGGCATCTGACGACTTCTGCTTTCAGTAATAATAAAAATAATAATAAAAGTTCACTGACAAATCACATGCCATGGATTTGTTCACATAGAGCAATAGTAATGCTAACCTTTGTTAAGTTTTCATGAACGTCTGTCTGAATTTGCTATCTACAATAACCTCTGAAAAAGTGTTAAATTTGGGTAGAACCCAGTTGAAGTTTGGAAAATGCAGGGAGAAGGTTTCCTTTTACCGTACTGAAAATCTAGCTGCATCTTTGCGTTGTAAGGGGAAGTCATACTCAAGAGAAGTAGTTGGAAGAAGTTGGAAAAGTACAGGAGTGGGTATTGTAAAGGACCTGGAATTAAAAAAAAACAAACAAACAAAAAAACCCCCTAGAATAGTTTCCTCTGTGCACCTTTAGCTGTTGTTAGGTGTCTGTAATGAGAATCTGCATTTATTTCAGTTTTTGAACAAAGGGATTGTAAATTAAATAAAATTGTGCATAGAAACATCTATCAGTAGCATTTTCTGATTTGCTGTCTTGATTTTAAGCACTACTAACAAATATTTTAAAACAGTTTTCTGATAGGCTTTTTTTTGTAAGTCGGAGTTTTATTTCTGCCCTATACTGCATGCTCACAGCAAAAATCACTTAGAAATGGAGGACCAGGAGTTGCCTTTTTGATGCAGCTTAGGTATCCGAATGTGATGTTGAGGCAGTATTGAATTTACTTTAGATAAATTATGAGCATTTTCATCTTAAATGAAAGGTTTCAAGAAGTTCAGTGTGTCCTACTTTGCCAAAAATGATCCATTTTCTGTTGTGGTTTTTTTTTTTCTGTTAAGGAAGTTTTATGTTTTTAGGTCTTAATTGTCTTTCAGTATTTGTAGAAGAGAAAAATACCTGTTGCCTATTACAAAACCGTATAATACTTATAACTGCAAGATAACATTTTTGAAATGTTACAGAAGTTTTACTTGAAATAGGTTATCATCAAAGATATTTAAGCTCTTACGGTTACTTTCTTGCATTCTTTTTTGAGCTGTAGTCGATTTACTTTATTTTGTTCAAACAGACAACTCTTATATGAGTAAAGACCAGCATGGCTCATCATCTGAGAGTGAAGATGAAGCACTGGGTAAATATCATGAGGCCTTGTCTAGAACCCAGAGTTCCAGGCTGCCAGTGGTGGATGGCAGACAGCAAAAAAACTATGTATGGGAGACCAGGCAAAAATATAGTCCTCTGTCTGCAGAATATGATGGATATAGTAGTGAAGCTTCCATAGATGAAGGTAAGATTGTATTACAAGTGTTCCTTTTATTCCCTTTTATTTTATAGTTATGTTGTGGGTAATACAGTTATAGGCAGGACAGCTCAACTTGCAAATAATCAATATCTGCAAGAAATTTCCAAATATCTTATGTATTTGCGCGTGCTCTAAAAAAATTGGTATGGACTTGTTTGTGTGTTCTTCCAGAAATACTGCAACTGATATAATTTCTTCTTATATTACATTATGTACAATTTTATTAATAGTCATTTTATTCTTTGGGGAATCTTCTTTGGACTGCTTTGATTTAGGAAACAAACATGGCAACCCTTGATAAATTCTAGGGTATTATAAATTGCAAACAAAACCCAACTACAGGTTCTGTTATGCTTTTATTGATAACCACTTTGCTGTTATGACAGTTTATTGCTCGTGGTACATATGGTCATTGCCACATGCATTATTGGAATGTCTTGCATCTTTCTGTGAAATCATGCAAGGAAACAATTTTAAAGATTAGATTAATATAAATCTTTCGTAGAGTTAAAAGAAAATATTGCATTTACATCCAACTTTTATGGTATATATTTGTTAATTTTTGGTAAAAGTCATTGCTAACTGACTGGGTAGTTGGCTATCAATGCTTTGTCTGTTTTTTCTGCTTGAAAGTACTGGCGTATGATAACAGTATCTCCAGTCATTTTGTAGCGTGGAAAAAAGGGAACTTGGGTTGAAGTTAGTTAAAAGTCAGGCTCTAATATAGCTGCTCAATTATAGTAAGACATTTCTTGGCCTCCCCTTAACAAATTAAAATATGCTGTTTTTTTTTTATTATATTTTTAAATAAAAAGTGGATACATATAATTGAAAGGAAGCCTATAGCTAAATGTATACAATCCAAAAGCACTTGAAAAAACTGAGTTTTTGTACTGTGTGATGTAATTCTATTATTTAGAAGTCCATTTGTCACTAAAATTTGAAATCAGTGCGTGCTCTTTAATGATTCCGAAGTTAAGGCATAAAGGATGTGAAAGCCATCGCTGAAGCTGCAGAGTAAGAGAATTCTTTTCTCTTCAGAACATCAGAATGTTCAGATTTTTCCTTTGCTTTTCAACTATAGAAAGACTGAGTCTGAATTCCAGCAACTAGAGAAGGAAATGCAGAGGTGAGGTGGGATGGTAAGGACTGGTCCTTGGACACTTTTATGGAGAAGGTCAGCAATGAGAAGGGATAGTAAAAGTATCCTATTTTATTTTTTATGTCTACTGACATCTGTCGGCAGTATTGTTGGGGGGAATATGAAAGGTGAGATACTAGTTTTGTTGGGATCCACGTACACCTGATGTCACTGTCAGAAAGGAGTGTGAGATATGCTAACAGGAGATGGGAAAGCAAAGTGCAGTTATTAGCAAATACTTCCAGCTGCTACTACTACTACAACAAGAAAACTGCTCTCGGATTCCCAGCATGATATATTTGTCTTATTTCAAACCAGCAGGGCCCGTTGTTAAAATAAAGTCATAGAATAATTCAGGTTGGAGGAGATGTCTAATGCTCCTCTTTCTATTTCACAGTTATTCAGATTTTGATCGTACTTCATCTTCTCGAATGCTTTTCTACCTCAGCTTTCCACTTTGGCCCTATATGATGTAAGCTTCAATAGCATTGTACTATCCTCAGTCTGGGATTTTTTTTCTCTTGTACTGATGATCTTCCTTATGATCCTCTCAGATCATCAAAATTCACGCTCACTGACTTTTGTTCTCTCTTAAGGAATAAGAACTTCAGTCTGGAAATTTGAATCATGGTTAGAATCTAGGACAAGAGAACTCTGTTGGCAAGCCCAAGCGCTGCAGCAAGAAACCAAACAACTGTTTTTCCCCTCCTGCTTTTTTGTTTTTCCTTCTCTTGCTAAAGATATCATCCATCACCAGCTGCTATCCCTTCTCAACGCTGTTTTCATTTAGAAAGTTGACTGAATGTTAAACTCCCCCCCCTTTTTTTTTAATTTAAAGAATACAAGCTCTCAACTGATACTAAATGTGTAAATTCAATTTATTTTAATGAAAACACATTATTCCTAGGGTTTAGGAAAAAAATTAAAAGCAAAAATATCAAAGCATTCTAACTTACCAAATTGTAAAGTCTTTAACCACATATTTCTACTTTTAAAAAAAGCTTTAAAACTGTCAGTTTTTTGCTTTTTCTGCTGCATTTAAGAGACCATTCTCTTCAAATGTTTTACAAGGAGTGGAGAATCAGTAGTGTTATTTGTCTGATAGTCAGAAATTATTCTAGTTTTCTACAAAATGCTCGCAAATTAAAGCGGTGATCTTGCTTCATGATCTTTGTAACCTGTTAATGTCAACAGAACTGTTCCAAAAGATTCTGTGGCATTGGACATGGCAACAAAGTAACAACCTACTGTTTTTCCACTTTTTAGTGACCTGAAGGTGGCACACTATAGTAATTAATTAATGTGTTAGAACTTTTTTATTCTTCCTACATTATTTCAAACATAAAGAATCTTTGCACAATGATAAAAATGTGTTTGAATAGAGGAAAAGATAGGCAGAGTATATCTTGTTATGTTACATTCATAGCAGAGGGAAAGCTGCCCAACCTAGAACTTTAGTGAAGAAAACCTGCAATCAAAAATAAAAAAAAAATGAGATTGGCTATCACTACCAACCAGTTCATATGTGTTCAAAGAAACAGCTCACTGAACAGATGAGGTTAAAATTCTCAGATTTCCAAGTAGGAAGCATCAAGAAACATTCTAGATGTTCGGTGTAATTTTTTTAAAATTTCAAATCTTTACAATTTTTAAACTTAAGATAGAAGTCTTTAGAAAATTTGAGATGCCGTAAATACCCTGAGATATTTTCACTAAGTAGTTGGCTTTTATATTTGTTGAGTTAGTTTTTTAAGTGTAAAGAAAAGTTATTTCCTAATTCTTTGCGGTGGGGGGAACAAGTAATATGTTCCTATGTACTTTAATTTGAGAAACAATCGTTTGTTTGTTTGTTTGCTGTGTTCCTCTGTTTCCTTATACGTACTTTGTCATTTCTACTTTTGAGTAGAATACTGAGAATTTTGAGAATACTTAAGTATTTTAGCTGTGCTTCCAGCCTAAGGCACCCTTCCATCCATTTCTTGACCAGAGCAGGATACCGTTGCAGTGATGAGAGGAGAGAATTCGTTTTTATCTCATCTCTGTTCTCCCTCAATTCATCCCTGGTAAATCTGCCTCTGATGTTTTCATTAAAAGTTGTATCGGAGAGAA